TTCCAAAAATATTGTTTTGATTTGATAAGATAGTCATTTTGCTAATGAAACTGAAGAACCGAAACCATTCCATTCGGAACTTTAACCAACACCAATGTCTTTGCCCAGTGTCCTCTAATCTTCAGTGAGATTAGTAAGCCATTTACTGCTCTCTCAATTCTGTCTCTAGAAGACACTAAGTCAATTTACCAGTTATTTTTCAAACTGGCAAAGAGCATAGAGTTCTGGAGTAAGAAGACAGCAAGAGGCTCCAACTAATAGTTTTTGAGCTTCAGAACATTTACTTTATTCTCTCAACCAAATCACAACGTAGAGAGTGTGATCGTCTAGGCAGATGAGAAAATCGAGAGTCCAAGAGTAATGTGATATTTTTATGGTGTCAAAGTGAGTAAGTAGCCACATCAGAAAGCAAATTAAATCACGTTTAGGCCCAGAGTCTTTCAGTTAACATTCTGTCACTGTCACTGACAACAGCTCTATTCGGGAGTGTGCCCTTCTGCTCATCTTAACGCAGGCTCTGCTCTGAGAAATGTCTTCCCGCTTGTAGCTCTGCTGAGGGCTTACAGGGAAGATGTGAAACAGGAGTGCTCTGAACCTGGTTGGAGAAGTTCCACAAGCAATGCCTGCCTGATACCTCTGGGACCTGAGTTCCTTTCCCAGTACACTGAATTATGAAAAAAAAAGTCTTTATAATAAGAACAGTACATTTGCTTATACTCAAAAGTATTTGCTTATGGACTTTTGCCCTAGAACAAATCAACCTTCGCTGATTCTGCATTAACATTAACACACTGCCAATGAGTTACGTTTTCACTAACAGAGCAGGATATGTCAACTTCTTAATTTGGGTGATCTTTCCATGTTACAATACAAACGGTATGTTTTTTGATGTAGCACTTTTTAACATTGTGTAAAAAATCTATTTAGCATTCTCTGTACATATGATGGAGGCCTGGTGGCTCATCTGCTAACCAAAAGTTCGGTAGTTCGAATCCATCAGCCACTCCTTGGAAACACTTTGGGGCAGTTCTTTTCTGCCCTAAGGGTCGCTATGAGTTGGAATCGACTCAAAGGGAAGGGTTTTTTTTTTTTAATCTGTGATAAAATTATGTTAATCACAGTTTAACCTGGTAAATTCGTTCTCATTCAGAATATTGAGGTACCTCTGTCAGAAGTCTCTCTTTAAACCTGTTGGAAAAGCCTCACAAAATGATTGCTAAGTCGCAGACTGAAGAGTTAGGAAATTCAAATCACTGCGGCCAGCGCTGACACATGGCAAGCCTAATAGTGCCCTCTATTAACTGTGCCTATTTCTCATAAAGCGCTGCCCTGCTGTCAGCCACACCCGTCAGTACCTTTCTGGCTATTTTTGTATTTTAAATTCCAAGCTGAGGACCCACATACCTGCCATCAGAAATGATGCTTCACGGTGGATGCAGGGAAGGCACGAGGAGCCTTTGCTGGAAAAGAGCTGAGCTGGATCACAGAGCTGGGCTGGAAGCCAAGAAATCCAAAAGCTGTATATGCAAAAAATGTAAAATCAGAGAGAAAGAAAAACTGTGTATTCGAATGACGTTCTTGACTCATCTCCTGGTGAGCCACCTATGTGTAGTATGAGCAAGGAGCAGTAAACTACCAGCTTCTAAAATGTTCCGGAAATCACAATACAGGAAATTCTCACTGTATATTTGTAATACAAAGCCTATGATTAGCACAATTGAAGGTGAGAGAGAGAGTTTTTTACTCTTTGAAAGTAAAAATAATCTAGAAAAAATATGTTTAAGCCACATAAAAGCATGGAGAAAAGAAGGTAAATTTGCTTCATGTGACAAAATTCTGCAAATAATTTTTTTCTTTTAATAAAAATAAACAATTACTGGGTGTCCACATTGTGCCAAACAGTATAAAGCACTTTACACATGTGAACTCGTTTATTTATCAAACTGTCAAGACAAAAAATATATTATAAATATCTTTATTTACCGATGAGAAAGCTGAGGTCTAGCTGGGTAAGTAACTTGTCCAGGGTCATTGAAGTTTGAGACACAGGCAATTTTACACCAGAGCACACATTCTTAGAGGCGGCACACCCACCTAATCAACCCACTTCCTCTGTGCCTATATTTTCTGTAGATTTCCATTTCTTTTCTTTTGCACTGAGTGGTTTGTCTAACCATTTTGGTGTTCCCATCCCTGCCTCTTTGAACCAGCCAGGGTAGGCAAACATCCCATCACTGTTCATATGTAAACACACACACACACACACAGCCCTTATCCCCTGGTCTAAGCCCACATTTCAGTGTCGCACATTAATCTTAAGTCTTCTTTCAACCCCTCACTTTCCAATGTTCCATTCCTTAAGGTCCTTTGAACATGCCTGCAGCTGCTCTAATAAATTTTATTTTAATGAAGATTTTAACTATTTACAGTGTTATCTCACTCAAATAATATGCTAATATTTCAGCTTACACTTTTTTTTATGTCGTCCTCAACAAAAGGCCCTAGTGAGCATTTCAAATATGGGACAGAAAGGTAGACTGGGAGTCTTGAGAGCAGGGAGCTTGATCTATGATGTGGTCTCTGGAAATACAATCTACCCCATACAAAATTAACTCCATAATAAATTGTGCGGTATTGTTTTATAAGTATTTGAATATTCCACCTTTTTGTAAAATTGAGTTTTTCATCAGAAAGTCAAGGCTTGTGGTTGTATCTCCGAGTTTCCATGCAGTCCAAAGTTTTTCACCTTTTCAACTTGTCTCCCGTGTGTATGTAGAGTTGCTCCACGCACCCATCAAAATTCTAAAATCTAGATCCTTACTGGAGAATGGGAACGCCGAAATTCCTTTATGCAGCTCTTTTGCAAATCCAAGTTGACACCACTATGTTTATAAGTGATCCTTTGACACATTTGAATTCTGTCCTTCGTAGTTTGTAGTGTAGGACAATTGTGAACAAGCAGAAAGCTGCCGAACTTTGCTCACTTTTGCCCCATATAAAAATGTCTTCAGTAAATATGAGTTTAGGGTTTATTTTTCAGCTTCAGTTTTGGAGTGTTAACATAGTTGTGAGAACTGTAATAAAATTTGCAGTAGAAATTTTACTATACTTTTAAACTATGAAGGTTATCTTTACTGGAAAATTATTCTAAGTTCTTAGAATCATGCCTAGTGAGAGATAAATCATTTATTGTATTCTTTTTCATCTTTGTTCTGTAACTCAGAAATAGAAAGCCTGCAAAGCCATACCCAGCACATGAACTCTAGACTCAAGGCACAAATCAGATATTTATATATCTGCATCTGTATCAATATCTCCCTTACATTTTTTTCTGATCTGACAACTCTTGTTGATTCATTTTGGTGTGTGGGGAGTTGAATTGTACTTACACCACAATGTCCCTACCACTCTTGTCCCCTCGTAGCAGACACTGTCAGCGCCCCACTCAAACCTCTACAAACTCTGAAGCCCTTGGGCCACCTCCCGCGGCTCTGCGCCTGGGGGCTGGTTGCCCTTCGTGGTTGTTCGGCACCACTAGTCAATGTTGACTCACAGCCGCCGCAGGAGACAGAGGAGAACCGCCCCAGAGGGTTTGCTGGGAGGAAACTTTTATGAGAGCGCATCTCCAGGCCTTTCTCCGGCAGAGCTACTGAGTGGGTTCCAACTATCAACCCTTCGTTTATCAGCCAACCACTTATAGTTGCCCCAACAGGGCTCCTTTCGTTTCCCCTAGAACTGTTGAACCAGCCTTGCACTTTTCACATCCCTGAATCTGGAGTTTTATATAAAAAGATCCCAGGTCATTTCGTTTCTCTAATATGCATGCATTGTTAATGAATATTTGAAAAAAGCAATGTGTCAATGAAAGGGGTTCCCCATCATGAAGACCAGGAAAAAATTCCTTGATATGTGGAAAAGGAGAATAAGCATAATGGCTGAAGACTGTAAAAAGATCAAAGAGGGAGGCTAGAGAAACAGAAACCGAGGAAGCATGCTGTCAGAGGAGAGGCTGCATACATGACACTTGTCCTCCACTCACACCAGCACTTTCCTTCATCAAGGTCCTGAATCAATATGGGCATTGAAGTAAACATCTGAAGACAACTCACTCTCTGATGGGTGAGCATGCATTTCCTGCACCCAGGGGATACTTTGGCTATTATTCTCATCAGTATCTGAAGATAATTCCCTTAAAAAGCAGAAAGCATCTGTGATAGTCAATATCATCTAGACATCGTTGTATCTCCAACATTCAGGTACACCTATAAACTCTCAGCAAAGAAAACGATAGAAAGGAAAGAAAAAAAAAAACACAATGGAATGCAAATAGTGAGGTAGAAAAGAAAGAATATGTGTGAACTTTAGTTTAGCTAAACAAAGAGTCTGAGATCTACCCTGGGCTGGAAGGCTAACCAAAGACTTTCCTGTTCCTTTACATGAAGGCTTGGTGGCCCAGTGTTTAAGTGTTCAACTGCTGTCTTAGTCGTCTTCTGCCGCCATAACAGAAACACCATAAGGGGATAGCTTCAATAAAGAGTAATTTATTCTCTCACAGTCTAGCAGATTACAAGTCTAAATTCAGGGAATTAGCTCCAAGGGAAGGCTTTCTCTCTCTGTTGGCTCTGGGGGAAGGGCCTTGTGATCATGAGTTTTCCCTTGGTCTGGGAGCATCTCAGGGCAGGAAACTCAGTTCCAAAGGACATGCTTGGATCCTGGCACTGCTTTCTTGCTGATATGAGGTTAACATGTCTGTCTGCTCGCTTCTCTCTTGTAAACCTCAAAAGACATTGGCTTAAGACACTTTCAAATCTTGTAGACCTCATCAGTGTAACTGCCACTAATCCATCTTATTGCATCATAGTGAAAGAGTTTACAACACGTAAGGAAATCACATCAGATTACAAAATGGTACACAATCATACAATATTGGGAATCATGACCCAGCCAAGTTGGCAGATATTTTAGGGGGACACAATTCATTCCATGACAGATGCTACTCAAGAGGTTGGCAATGTAAATCCACCAGTCGCTTCTTGGAAACCCTATGGTACAGTTCTACTCTCTCTTATAGGGTCTCTATGAGCTGGAATCGAATCAATGCCAATGGATTTTATTCCTTTACAGAGAAAGCTGATAGAAGTGGAAAAAACACAAGGAAAGTCAATGCTTCCTTAGTTGAAGACATGAGTAAGGACAGGTGGGAAAAACAATAGTTGATTTTTCATCATAACCCCTTCTGTACTGTGGATTTTAAAAGTATTTGCAAGTTCAACTTTGATTTTTTTTTTAAAAGACAAAACTAAGCAAAAAAAGAAAAGAAAACTCCAAGAAGCACATTTCATAACTGTCAAAGAGAGAAATCGATAGCAGCTATCTTGCTTTGATTTGGGGGTTTTCTTACCCATGAAACCAAATATTCACTTTAAAGAAATCCCTGACCAAAACTCTTCTGCCAGAGGCTTTTCTTAAACCCATAGTTGCAAATCCTTTCTTTCCTATTTGAAGCCCAGCTTACTAAATTTGAATTTGTAAACATGTTCTTGGGTAGAGAGCCAGAGAGCATCCTGTAACCTGATATCAGTTGATCTCAGTGGAGGGGAGAAGGCAGGTTCAATCAATCATATTAAGATTAGCCAATGGATGATCTTCCTTCCTCTTCTCTTTCTAAGGCCCATTGTACCTAGCTAGCGTCTTCAACCCATTTGCTTTTTCTGGAATCTAAATAGTCTCCCTATATGTATATAGAATAAATGTTCAGAATAAACCTTACATTTTTAACACTTTGGTGTGAGAAATGGGATTCAGAGAAAATTGGAGATTCATCCAGAGATCACTGAGCCAAGTACCCCATTTTGTGAAGAGAGATCAAACATATGGTACAAAACATGGGATTCTTGCATCCAGTTGTTTCCTCACCATGTCTGAGCCTGGTAAAAATCTATTTGGTTTGCATTCCATTACTTTTGTGTGGAACTCTCTGAGTTTCTATCTGAGCAGATATGAATGTCTTTTCCTTGGTAAGTTACCCTTTGAGCAGTTATGAACGTCTTTTCATTGGTAACTTACCCTTTCATGTTGTCTGTTTACAGAACTGGGTTTCCATCTCTTCTAACATTTTCTTTGCACTTTGGGGAATTTGTTTGGTGCTCCAGTTTCATAAGGAGTTTTCCCATTTGTGTTATCTGAATATTTTCCGTGGACTAGCTTCAAGGGATATCGAACAGAACGCAACAAAAAATGTCAAATTTAATCCAAGGAAGTGAAGTCCTCAAAGGTTACTTGTGCATGTTTGCACACAAGGGTTACTAGTCCTAGTTATGGGGCAGGGTTGTTGGACTGGATCAGAGGATAATCTCTGGTGATTTTCAGGTGGGTCAACCTGACTGAAGCAGCTTGCAATCGTATAGCTACCTGTGTGTATGCACGTTGCCTTGCATTGTGTTGTGCTATTTTAAGAGTATTATGATGTCATAAAACGGAAGATCATGAGGTAAAACAGAGGCATAGGATTTATAAGCCTGTAGTTTGAGCTGGCCCCAGAGACCAGTGAATGTTTGATTTTCACCCAGAATGACATCCACAGGGACAAAATTGGCAGTGGGTCACCTAAAAAAGGTTTACGAGATTTTGTCTTGAGAACTTCGGTTTGACCTAGAGAAAGTATTCAGTCTGTTTTCTTTGCTTGTTTGTTTTTCCCTCTGTGCCCCATCATGAGTTCTTTCTAAGTCTGAGGTCCAAGAAAAAGTGCTTCACATGCCTGTCTTATGATTTCAGCTTTCAACAGCTACTCTGAGACCCTTCGATACAAAATGGTTCCTTTGAAAAGTGCCCTGAAAAAAGGAGAGATTGCTTATTTTGATTGCTATAACAAGGTTTCAAAAGGATAAAAATTATTCTAAATTTACTTCTCTAAAAGATTCCTCAATGCGTACAGAAGATAGAGTTATGAAAAGGAAATAGTTTCCTATGTCCAGGTATTATTATTAAATTATAACATTGCTTCAAAGACTTTCATTCTGACTGGTTTATTGATAAATAAGCACTTCTATAAATTTAGTAGCCTTAATATTCCCATGAATTAATAAAAGTGAATTCAGCCTGACAAAGTTTTTTGTGTTTTGTGCTATGTTAACCTTAAAAACAGTTTCTTAAGAAAACAAAATCTTTCTAAGTAACTGAGGTAGACATTATGTGAAATATGTTTTATTTAGGGAAGAAATAGTAATTTTGTCCTAAAATGAAATAAAGAAAAGAAATTGGCTTTTGAAAACAACCTGAAGAATTAAAGGGTCTTTTGTCTTTCAACATACCTAGGCCAACCTAAAACCAAAAAACCAAACCCATTGCCTTGAGTTGATTCCAACTCTGTCTAAACACAGGTAAACGACTGAGATTGTGCAGTTCTTCTTGACAATGAGGCAGAAAGGGTGGGGGAAGGATCTGACCTCCATTGACCTATCCTCAGGCCTGCAGCTTGTGGATGTAGTGTCAAGAGAGCTTTTGAAACAAGGACCCTCTCAACCAGGTCAAGATATTTTTAATAAATTAGAATCACAATTATTGTATTATTATGGTAAAGATACGTCAGATGTTGACCAAATGGTGCATGACTATACATACTTGTTTCCCCTCCCCCACAAGAAAAATGATTAGTTTGGTTTCCCAAAAGCTATGTTTCTTTTCTTTTCTTTTTTTAATTCTTTGTCTCCACACCTCTGCACTCGTCAAACTCTGTAGCAGTAAAAGAGTGTGTGAGTGCATTGGCAGGAGGGGTAACTACCGACATAGGCAATATCAGAAAATAACATGGAGGGTGTTTCATTCCAATGCTCATTGAGTAAATCATTGGGAGATAGCAACAATGAACGCACTGTCTGTCGATCACCTCTTCTTGATAAGATTGGGAAATGAGTTCTGACCTCGCAGACCTTCTGAGGTCAGACCTAAAATAAAGTGTCTGTTTATTCCGGAATATAAGAACATACTAAAGGACATGGCTTGGAAAAGTTTTATTGGCCGTGGTGTAAAATAGTGAGTCTGAAAAGCTATGAAATATGTCAGAAACTTAACAAAGTTTGATCAGTTTTGATGGTCTTCTTTCCTTGTTTACTGTTTATTGCCTGCACCTGTAATATGAAAAGATACTTTTACTTCTGTGTGATCTGTCTAGGTAGGAGGCAAAGGTTTTGTGACTCTGAGGTATGTTAACTTTTATGCCCTTGACTAAGAAGCCAAGCCACACGATTTTGAAAAAGCTAAGGTTGTTGCTTTATTTCCTTTAAACCCTCTGCTTAAATAATGATTGTTTTTCACTGACCTGTGATAAACTTCTGACAACATGGAAACTTCAGGAAAAGACACAAAAGGACTTTTCCTGCTTTGCAACCTAAGAGTTGTAGGGGAAACAAGAAAGGCTTATTTAACGTGTTATGAATTGCATGAAACGTGTGACCCCATCAGGAGAAGGGTCTGATTTTCTTTGGTTTCAAATTTCACGTGTTAGCATCTTCTCTTATATTTCGCCTGATGTGACACAACAAGGGCATAATATTGCTAGTCATATTTGTAGTCATCTTTTTCATAGTTAGCTTCGTTGCAACTTTATTTGTAAATTTAAATGTAG